ACAGAGTTCAGGTGTGTGTGTGAAGAACCTTTTAGTTGCACATCGTTATAATAACTCCACCTTTCCCAAAGTTTCATTGTATTGTTTTCATTGTTCATTTGTGTTCATTTTGGTGTTTGGATTTTTAGAGGAGGTGCGTACATTAAAATTACAGGTAGTCCCCGGGTTAAGAACACCCAGTTTATGGACGACCCAGAGTTAAGAACAAAGCCTATTGTAGCAAAATTCAGGTTTTGGTTTGAGTTAATTACACAATACTACTTACACGGTATTATACAGTAATACTGTTCTGGTTTACATACAAATTCAACTTAAGGACAGACCTTGGGAATGGAACTTGTTCTTAAACTGGGGGATGCCTGTACACTAAAGGGAGGCGTGATGGCAAAAAGGTTAGGAACCCCTGCCTTACGTGCTCATTTTCATTTAGAGGAGAGTGAACAACAGATGAGTCCTCAGATGTTGTCAGATTACCTTCCTCATCATCCTGGCCTTCTTCACAACCACAGCTGAACTGAGACAACATAAATGCATAATTGTACAAATGTGCATGCTTAAACACTGGCCAGTGTAGTACAGTAATTAACCAGGACAGGGGAGACCCATGTTCAGGTCCACCTTAGCCACGGAAAGTCACTTAGTGACTTTAGGTTGGTCACTATCTCCCAGTGCCCCTTACCACACAGGGGACAAAATGGAGATTCCCATGTAAACTGCTGTGAGCTCTTGGAGGAAAGGTAGAATATAAATCTAGCAAATTAAAAAATTCACCTCATTTCACATTTAACATAGCTTCACTCTATACTTTCCCACACTGAGTGTAGTTGTAAAACAAGTGATCCACATAGATTTTCTTACAGTTGCAATACTTAGTACAACAAATAAATAGAAAAATGCTGTCTTTTATGTTTCAGTAATCTTTCTGAGGCAATAGTTTTATTTATTCAACATTTTTATTTTTAATTCTGATGATTTATATCCCATCCTTCATTCTACAGGTACTCACAGTGATTAAAAACCACCACAAAACAGAAATAGTTAAATGTTATTAAAAATCACTGCTAACTTGGAAAAGCCTGGCAGTATGTGTAAGACCTATGTGTCCATTCATCCTCCGGACCATCCCAATCCAGCAGGTCTGAAGGAGGTTCAGCAGCCTTCTAGAGCTCAGCCAAAATCAAACTGGAGTGTTCCAGGGGTGGTTGGCCCCCTAACTGGCCTTTTTTTTGTTGGAAAACCATTAACTGCTTCCAGTTCAGAGGATTAACTTCCATTGGACAACCAGTTCACTCCTGGAATGGCCAGAATGGCATGGTCTAATATGGGAACAAAATGTTCTGGACTTTTCTGGAATGTTCCATTTATGGAGCAGTGGGTTTGTGCATCCCTACAAAATAGTATGCAATAGCTTTTCACATTCAGCAATGCTTCATTGGATAAGTTAGTTTTAAAAAGCTAAAAAAAGAATTCAAAAAAAGAAAATTTGGGTGAGGGAGATAAATGTAACTAGTATTTAAGACGTGTAGCTCTCAAAAACCAGGAAGGAACCTGGATTTGACAGAATTCAAGAGGAATGAATGTACTGATAGTATCTCAAATCTTAACATTCCACAATAAGATCAAGAACTTGTAATCATCAGCTCTAACTAATGGAAAATCCCTCTGGGATTCCATTGGATTCCTTAAATCCCTGAGGGCAGATAATCTCATGGGTTGCTCTATCCCCCCAGGGAGAGGGGAGAATACTTTCTATGACACTCAATGTCACCAAGATATGGTCTGACCATAATAGAAAGATCACTAAAATGCCACCTTTATCCAGAGTATTCCATCCTTTGAGGCTTAATTGAGGGAGTGCTTTATAGATCAATGCACTGAATAAATGAGACAACACCATGGTTCTTTGGAGACCATGAAGGACCAACTTGGCCCATCTTCTACAATACCAGTGTGAATACTGACGTCACCGAAGACATCGTGGGTTGCTTAAATCATGACATCTCTACTTCTTGGCTCTGTTTCCCCCACTTCCCCACTTAGATGTGCAGAGGGCGAAACAGGAACAGCAAGGGAGTGTGGAACTATTTCTGACCTTGCTTGGGAGACCACAGATTTTTATTTTTATTTTCAAACACCAAAGCAAAATAATAACAGTAATGAAAAAAGGAAGTGCTGGCTGCCATCCATAGCAAATGTGGCTGAGATTCTGCCAGTATTAAAGGTGACCAATGAATCTTAACCGGACATGATTTGTCATATTATCTAGCACAATATTATTGGCATGAACATACTTTTTGTGTGTTCATGTTTTAATGGCAGTTTGTAATTTATAATGAGAGTTCTAATATTTTAATATTGTAACTCTCAGTACAATTTTGTAAAGTGATGAATGGTTTTGTTTTGAAATTGGCATCATCTAAAAGGTCTGGGCTGGATGGAAAAAAAAAAGGGGGGATTTATAGCTTCTCTCACAGACAAGAGTTGAAAGCTATTTTAATTCAACTCCATGCAGTCTTGCCTGCTTGCCAATTCAAGCCTTGTTATCTGAGCCAGTAACACCTTCAGATCAAATCATGTAGAAAACAAAATTCCTGTTTATGAGTGAACTTTATTTTTGGATAGTAATGGAACTTAGAGTTATTTGGTATTTGCCAATATGTATCTCTAGGGAGGACGTAGAAAATAAAACTTTGGGGCAAGTTGAGTAAGACAGCTAGTGATATATTTCTCTTTTATTTAATTTTTCAAAAATAATATTTTTTAAGCTAGGAAACTATTCATCTGAGTATAATACATATCAATTCTCATGGCTACCCCTTTAAGATATTATAAGTGCCTATTCTTAAATATGTAGGTTTTTTAAAGTCAGGAATGAATTGGCTAGCTTCATAATTGTTTTAGATGTGCTATGGCTTAACTTCTTTCTGTTGCTTTTGAATCTTTATATCTTAGCATCCTTCAAATATCAGTCTAAATTTATCTATACTTGTACCAAATTTCTGAGTCGAGGGTGAAAGGTGGGAGATGCCAAACCTCTCCTTCCAGAGGCCCTCCAGGTCTTCACACACCGGTCCCTCCGGCTGCTTTGGGGTAGCAGTGCAACAGCTCTTGCTATCCCCAACTGTCTTCCACAGGTGCCTCACCTGGTTCCCGTCTTGACCTTGGTGTGTGAGAGAGACACCCTGTGCCATCTTTTGCCATCTTTCTGGCCATTAAAAGGTCACATTACAAAAGCTATGAATCTGCCGTCTGCTGTCTGGTGTGCAAGCTACATTCACCGCAATATTTGATAGCACAGCTCGATTCCTTCCTCTTCCCTTTGTCTGTAACTGGATACTGGTATTTCCTGGGAAGCAAAGCGATTGGCTGTTCTCTGAAGGTGAGAAGACTTGTGCTGTCAACAAAGCCCTACTACGATTGTGCCATAGGAAATACCTTCTAGGTAGGGAACAGTCTTCGTCTGGCTTGTAACGTTTGCCACAAGAGTACACAGTTACAAGACATCTTGTGAATGTGGATTCTCTCCTGCAACTGTCAACAACACAGAACACAGCTGGGGAAAGCCAAGATAATGTATTGAATCTTTCTAAGTATTGTGTTTTGTCTTCCCATTATAGAGTTTAAAAGTTACAATTCTTTATAGGTAGGTTTTTTTAGTTAATACTTCGATTTTTATGTTTAAATCATGTTTCCTGTGTCAGTAGTACATGACAACTACCGTAATGGTATGTGGGAAAGACCTTGGGAGACTGGGCCAAGAGACGCTGCCCGGGGAACGGTCAGATAAGAGAGAGCTTAGCCTGCAGCTGGATAGTGGGTGGGGCAAGAGGCTCAGAAGGGACTCTCCCTAGTTTTTCAGGCTGTAAAGGAGAATTGGCTGGTTTTTCAGGCTGTAAAGGAGAATTGTATTTTCACACTTGCAACATTGATGTCAGCCTTACCAGGTAGACCAAACAGGAAACACAACCAGATAAGCTAATTCTACTTTATTGTAAAGCTACATTAACAGAATCCTGCAAGTCTGAAAATACAATTCTTTCTGTGGGCTTTGCTCTCTCTTATCTGACTGTTCCCTAAGCAGCATCTCTTCGCTCCGTCTCCCAAGGTCTTTCCCACATACCATTATACCTACTGAAAGACACCTACTAAGAATGTTGGCAGGAAGCCCTTTGATACTGTAATTCAGTTTAACATAACCCTGAGGAACGAAGCAGAAAGCAGATCACAAGGTCTGGACTTGCATTTTGAGCAGAAGTATGAAAAGGAGTCATCATAACATTAAAAGAAATCCAATAGAAGAGAATATCTGTAGCTCAGGGTTGAATTGTGGAGCCCTTGGTGCTCTCTGGGCCTGGATGTTTGCTTGAGGATGTTTCATTACCCAGCTAGGTAACATAGTCAGTGTGACTAAGTGTGGGTTTTGCTCCCTGTTTGTATACAGTAGCTTGCCTTGCCAGTGTTGGTGGGCGTGTGGTTTTCTCCTTGGCAATTCCTCGATTAGGGCATTGCTTTCTGCTTGATTGTTTGTCTGGTGTCAATCCCTGCTTATCTGGGTGTTGGCTGCTGGAGAGGATGCGTTCTGGTCTTTTTGTTTCCTTCTTAGGTTTTTTTATTGTCTCTTTTGAATGGTACGTAAATATGGTTTATCTCTAAGATAAATGGGGATTTTGTTTTCCTTCCCTGGTGTGCAGTCTATACTCAGGTTTTGCTTTCTTGCCTTTATTTGCTGTTTTTTTTAATATTAATATGTGAGCTGCCTAGAATTATGTAGGTGAGTGAGGTGGCATATAAAGGAAGGAAGGAAATAATTTTCATCTCAACTTTGACAATGTGAAGATGTATGGCTGGGGAATTCTGGGAGTTGAACTCCACACATCTTAAAGTTGCCAAGGTTGAGGAACTTTGATCTAGAAAATGATATATTTCTGCCATTTTTTAAAAGTTAAAATAAATGCATGTAACAAAAGAGCAATAATCTTTTATTTTCTTTTCCTTTGTAGTCATGGACTTCTGCCTTGTAGATCATTTTGTGAGGCTGCAAAGAAAGGATGTGAACCAGTCCTTGCAATGGTCAATTCTTCTTGGCCAGAATTCCTTGCCTGTTCCCAGTTCCATAACAAAACTAAAAACAGCAATGCCACCAAGGTCTGCTTCTCCCCACAAGGAGAAAAATGGAAAGGATGTAAGTTTTCACTTTTCTTTTAAAGTGTGCTTTTAGCCAGAGTAGAACTGTGATGCGACATGTACTTATGGGGAATTAAGTATTTTTTCAGGGGAGAAAAGCAGTTGGGAAATGTTTTGCAGGCTACTAGAAAGAAATATGCAATTATTCACAAAGCAGTTATTTGTGAACTGCTGTTGAGTGTTATGAAAAGTCAAGTAAGAGATGCACAAAACTTAGTCATTTTAATTTGTTACAGATACAGACTGAGATAAATCTAACTCTTAGTTGAAAATAAATGCCAGACACATATCATTTATCATGGCTTGGAGGTTTGAATTGAGTACTGACATTCACATAAGGTTAAATCTGGGACATCAAAAGCACGATTGGTAGTCCTTGAGATCTGGGGCATCTCAGAAGCTAAACAGGCATGTGCTAGGTAGATCTTGGATGGGGGAAATCCAGGGCTGGAAGAAAGAGTGGGGAGTTAAAAAGACGTTCAGGAAAAAAGCAGTGGCAAATCATTTTCACATAATGCCAAACAAATGTCATGGAAGTTTTCATGAATTGAGTTTGACTTGAAGATGGAACAGACTTAATAGGCTGGGTCCGTGCTTCATGCTAAAACATAAAACACTATTTACAGAATGGCTGGGTTCATCTGTTGTACAGCCTAAACCAACCACAATACCATTATGACTTGATTCACTTACTGTGGTAAGCCATAATGGTCTGATATTAGATCAGCACAGTGCCATTGTGGTTATCATGACTGAGCCACAGTAAATTGTGATTTATTCAGTAAACCACAGGTAAGCAAAACCATAGCTGAATATGATTGATATGTTGCATGAGCTCAGCCAAAACATGTACGCACACAAAATCCTGGCTTCCGTGAGATTGCGGTTGGCACAGTCCTTTTGTGTTATATATGAACTGGATTTTAAAGGTGGGTGGATATGTAAATATTTTGTGGTTCAATCAATGCATTTTTGACAAATTGACCTCAATAAAATAAATGGAATGATTCAAAATCACTAGAATAGAGCTTTTGGGTCTAAGGGAACCTATTTGTTCATATTAAAGTCTCTGTCCTTGCATGACACTGAAGCCATTTTAGAAGTCTGAAGCCTCGTTTGAAACATTTGAGAGGCTGCATTTTGTATCGTTGGGAGATAAAAATCTCTTTTTCACGGATGTCTTGCTAGCTTTTAGAGTTGATGCTCTTAGAGGATAATGTCATGTGTTTTAGAAGAAGATATAATAAAACATTCAATAAACTCTATCCTTGTTCTTGTCTTAAAAGGAGCATGCTATAAATTAATGAAAGTAAATAAAAACGCCTTTCACTGAATCAGAAAACCTTTGTCCATTTAGTTCAAGGATGGGTCTGTTCTGTTTTCCTTTATCAGGAAGGTAGAAATACTAGCAGCTGGTGGACAGATTCAGAAATGGAGAGGTCTAGAGCTGCACTCTGCTCACATTCACACACCCACATATTATAAATATTAATATCTGTGTATACTCCCCTTCCAGGGGCATCCATGGGAGGTCAATGGCGTCAAAAGGCCAAATTTGCACCTGCCATTTTGACATTGTTGACCCCCCCCATGGATGCCCTGCCCCTTCTTCGAGCATCTCTCACCCCATCCTAATATTACTCCCATCATAAACATTCACCAACATATGTTACATTCATTTACTCCCATCCGCTAGTTACAAACTGCTCAGGGAATTTTGTTAAGAAACAACCCATAAATGTAACAGACTTTGACAGGGATCAGCTGCCATATGCACATCGGAGCCCCTGAGGCTTGGGAATCTCACAGAAATGGTGATTTTTTGAGGTGGCTATATTAACAGCGAAGATGCTCTTTTCTAGTCTTTTTAATAATAGTCAATTTTTTTTTAATTGTGGGGTGTTTTAATGTTTGTTTTATGGCTTACTTTTATTGTACGCTGCCCAGAGTCACATTCTGTGAGAGGGGTGGCTGTATAAATGTGAGGAATGAATAAAATAAATTAAATTAAATTAAATTAAATTAATTTAATTTTAAAAAATCAGCTGTCCTGGTTTCGTGTAAATATTTCAGGTGAGTTGTCAGTATGCATAGGAGTGAAATCGGCATTCATCAATCATTCTTCCTGCTTGCTCTGTCTGACCTCGCTTACTTACTCAGAAAAACAGTACCGAAATGACATTCCTGTGTCACCTCCCTAGAAATTAAAAAAAACTATTCACATACTTTTCTTCATATCCTCCCTCTGCATCCTTTGTGTCGTGCATTCTTTTAGGCAATCAAACTTAGACACGGTCTTTAAAACGTGATTAATGAGGAAAAAAACAGCTCTGGAATCTTTTTCATTAGTTATCCGCAGCATCACTGGCGTGCCTCAAATTACCATCGTTGCCTCTGACCTCAGGATATGATTTAGGCCAAATTAATGCTGCTGTATTCCAATCTTTGAAACGTCGGCTACTCAGAAAACCGAGAAGATAGCGCAGGGTCATGCTTTTCCAATTGCCACAGCAAGGGCTGAGTTCCATTCAAGTTCGTGTTAAGCTTAAAATAACAGGTTTCTAAAATTATTGAACAGTTACATTCAGTGATGTTAAATTCAAAGGGGCTTGCTTTATTTCCTCAGAAGTAAATAATCAGCAGAGAAATATCTGTCCTGAAGGCAGGCCAAGTGGATTACTGAATGGATCCTCTTAGTATCCTAAGCCATGTTTGTTTAATATTGGTTTATAACTACAAATGGCACGTGTGAGCCTGTGCAGGCTGGCCTCACTTCTCAGAGGAGGTCGGCTTCCTGCCTCTTTCATGAAAGGTGGGAGAAAGAAAACTAGAAGCGAATGGTTTTGAATTGTCTATCTACAAGACTCCCAGCTGAAAACAAAACTACTTGTTGGAATTCTTACGCTATCACCATAACCTTTTTCTTAATAAAATTTACTAATTGGAACAATTTGCTTATTGGTAAAAGTTCTGAAAAGCAAGAATAGGCCTTCCTTCCCAGACTGGTAGAATAGTGACTACATGTTGTGTTTTGCACCTTAGCTTCTAAGAGAGTATCTGTCTTCTGGGGTAAAAATGGAAGTTGGGTCTCCAGGAGTGACGCCTCATTCACAGAGCAGCTGACTCCTTTGCCAATATCCAAAGAGAGCTTTTTTGCTGGATTAACCAGTTGAAGGAATAGAATCTCAGTGATTGAAAGGGGCTCAGACAACTTCCTGCTACGGAGGTCCGTAGTCAGTTATTTTTTAAAAATGAAACTTTTAAAAAAATGGAGTTTAAAAAAATATTTTTAATGGTTTAATAGTTAAATTTGAATCCCCCTTGAAGGTTGAGGCCCAGCTGTGATCTTGGGATTCAGGAGTCATTGGATGGGAGCTCAAAATGACACTGGACATAGGAAAAAAAAAGTCGTAAGAATGTTAGAAGTGCCTAGCTGAATTAAATAACAACTTAATCTTGTCCAGCATTTTAAAAATATATTTTAAATTTTATGAATTAAGTAAAAAACAACAGGAAAAGTAAAGCAAAGGGAGGCAAAGAATTTATATGGTAGTCCTTCAGGTTCGAAGAAAACACGCTGTTGTGCAGTTCATCTGTGGACACGGAGGTGGCTCTGCAGCCCCAGTCTGGAAGCGCAGAGTCTAGCACAAGGGGGGCACTGGAAGCCCATTGTTGTAGCAACTGTGGGTGTTATTCTGTGACACCGCTCACGGTTTGCTATCAGTTTTTGGCAGCGCCTGTCTTCAAAGCCGGTGGAGGTTCATAGCACAGGGCTCGCCAGCGGGTTCTGTCAGCAGCCGCAGCTTCTAGTTCCCTTGGCTGGATGTCACCGTGGTGTAGTGTTTCTTTCACAGCGTCTTTGTAGTGCTTGCGTGGTCGACCTCGAGGTCTCTTCCCAGACTCCAGTACGCTATAGAGCAACTGGCAAGGCATACCATGGTCGTCCATTCTGATGACGTGTCCCAGGCACTGCATCTGGGCTCTGATAATCAGGGGCTCAATGCTGGTGGATTCCGCATGATCCAAGGCCTCCAGGTTGGAGACACGGTCTTGCCAACAAATGCCGAGGATGGAGCGGAGAGCGCGCATGTGAAATTTCTCCAGTTGTTTGATGTGCCTTTGGTGCAGGGTCCAGGACTCACATCCACATAGGAGCGAAGGGATAACCCCAGCTCTCTAGACTTTCAGCTTTGTGGAGATACAGATGTGTTGATTGAGCACTCTAGAACACAGATGCCCCAGTGCCTGGCTGGCCTTGCTGATCCTGGAGTCAATTTCTTTGTCCAAAGACTCATTGCTCAAGATGATGCTTCCCAAGTATTTGAAGCTGTTTACATTTGTCAGCTGGGTGTTGTCAACAGTGATTTTTGGTTTTACAGGGTTGGTATTTGGCACTGGCTGGTATCTTGTTCAAGTTGATAGTCAGGCCAAAGTGCATAGCAGCCTCTGAGAATTTGTTCAGTGTCAACTGTAGATCACTGTCTTTGGGCACCAGGAGTGTGCAGTCATCAGCAAAGAGGGTTCCTTGGATGACTGTATGGAGGCACTTCGTCCGTGTGTTCAAGCAGCAAAAGTCAAAGAGAGAGTCGTCCAATCGGCACCTGATGTACACTCCCTCCTTCAGACCCTGGACAGCACATGACAACATGAAGTGAAGAACAGATTGAACAGGACTGGGGCTAGCACACAACCCTGCTTTACTCCATTGCAAATGGCAAATGCAGCTGATGTATCACCGTTGTAAAGAACCTGTCCTGTCATTCCATCATGGAGTAGCTGAATCAACTTCACGAATTTTCTCAGGCATTCATAACATCTCAGGATGACCCAGAGAGCCTCCCTGTTTGTTTACAGTGTGAAATGCCTTTGTCAGGTCAGTGAAGACAGAGTAAAGAGGCTTGTTCTGCTCGATGCACTTCTCCTGGACTTGTCTCATGGCAGATATCATGTCTGTTGTATTCCGTTCTGGCCAAAAGCCACACTGCGCCTCTGGGAGGTTCCTTTCCGAGACAATGACAAGTCTGCTCGGGAGAATGCAGGCAAAGATCTTGCCTGCGATGGACAGCAGTGAGATTCCCCTGTAGCTTCCAGAGTCTGATTTTCTTCCCTTATTTTTGTAGAGAGCCACAATGAGGGCATC